GCACAGGTTCTTTGTGAGCTTCAGCTGTGGGTGGGGACATCCCAGTGCCTGTCCTGGAGTCTGCTGTCTGGCTGGGCAAGGCTTCTGCAGAGCACTGATTCCAGCGCCTTGAGGGAGGGCCAAGGAGGACTAAAAAAGTGCTGCGGTGTCCTGAAGTGAGGAAAGGGGGCAGTACAGAACTCTCTTTTCTTGAGCTAGTTAGGGAAGGCTTCATGGAGGAGGTGACTTTTGAGTTGGGCTTTGAAGAGGGTTAAGAGTTTTCTAGGCAGGTGGGGTGCGGTGGTTCGCACCTGTAATCTTAGCACTCTGGGAGGCCAAGGCGGGAAAATTGCTTGAAGTCAGGAGTTTGAGACCAGCCTGAGCAAGAGCGAGACCCTGTCTCTACTAAAAATAGAAAAATTAGCTGGGTGTGGTGGCATGTGCCTGTAATCCCAGGTACTTGGGAGACTGAGGCAGGAGAATTGCTTGAGCCCAGGAGTTTGAGGTTGCTGTGAGTTAGGCTGACTCCACTGCACTCTAGCTCAGGAGACAAACTGAGACTCCATCTCAAAAAAACCCCCAAACAAACAAAAAAGTATTTTCCAGGCAGAGAAGAGGTGAAAGGGGATGCCAAGTGGAGGGCATGGCATAAGCAAAGCCATGGACAAAAATGGGTAAGAGTGTGAAGGTCGGATACAGAGGTTGTAGGTCCTAATACTTTTTTGGGGGACCATCTTTCAGAAAAAGAATATAAATGCAGTACCAATGGGAAATTAAACATGAAAATGAATTTTTATTTAGACTGAGAAAAGGGATACAGCAAATTACAAATCTCAAAATGTTGACAAATACCACAAACATTGCACAAGCTAGAAAAATGATAATATTTTTATTAACTGGGATAAGTGTATATTTATTTTTTTAATGTTTTCTTGGCTCTGTGATCTTTGCTTCATTCGACAATCATTTTGTAAAATCATTTCCCATACAGAGACTAGAAGGAAAATTCAGTCTTTCCTCTGATATTATTGATTGATTTACTTTTTGCTACTGATAGTTTAGAAAAGATTTTGTTTTCAGCTTCACAACTTGTTACATAATGTCATATAAATGTTTACAATTATTGCCAAGATAGGAAAAACTGTATCAAGTTTCTTTCACATATGACATATAAAATTTCAGGATATCTTAAGTTTTCATAAAACTTAACTTTAAATAGTTTAAAATTGAAGACACTTTGTTTATTTATTTATTTACTCTTAGTACCCAGGCCTTTTCTGGCAGAAGACATTCAACATTGGTTTATTGTCAGTGGCCTTGTGGCAGTAGCTTCCTACATAATCCAAGAGCATCATATTTATTTATAGTTAAAATTTATTTCTTTTTCTTATTGAACTACTGCTTTTGGTATGATCTGAAATTATTTATTTTACAGTATGATTCTCAATGTCAGAACAATTTATACTGACTTATCTTCTTTTCTTTTTCTCTTTTGTTTCAATATTCCATTCTGTTGCCTGGGCTAGAGTGCAGTGGCATCATCATAGCTCACTGCAACCTCTAACTCTTGGGCTCAAACAATTCTCCCCCCCTCAGCCTCCTGAATAGCTGGGACTACAAGCCCGCACTACAACTCCTGGCTAATTTTTCTATTTTTAGTAGCAGGCTGGTCTTGAACTTCTGAGCTCAAGTAAGCCTCCTGCCTTGGCCTCCCAGAGTGCTAGGATTACAAGTATGAGCCACCACACCTGGCCAAGTTGACTACCCCTAATTTTTAATCTGAATTTTTGTCTTAGATTTTTTAGTAAATAAATCTATGCTCCTCTAAATCTGTAATTTATCATTTATTATATTGACATGCTGTAAAATGTTTTCCCAAATTATAGTTTAAAAGGCACACTCAACTTTTCTCAACTTTTCGAACCTTGCTCATGTTTCTTTTCTGAATCTTCAAAAATATATTTGAGTCCTTGAAATGTCCTTGTACCTCTGTTGCAAGGGTTAGACAGCTTTATTATGGGAGGGCCATCTCATCATATTTAGATTTTTCAAGGTAAAATTCAAGCTGGCATGTGTTTACAATACTTCATTTATAAGAAGAACCAAAACTGAATCATGGAACTGTTGCTAAATGCAAAAGTAGTGAATAGCCTCTGAAGAGGACACAGGGAATGAACTCTGCAAGCCGCACATTCCGTGTACTCATTAGCCTCTTTAAAGAGAGCTTCTAGCCCTTGTCTTCGCCTTTCAGAACGACTGTTGTCATGTGATGGAACAGAGAATGTTGTTTGCGACAGGTTACAAATGTCAAGTACTTGTTTCACTTTTGAATAAACTCAGATTCATGGTTTTCAGATCATGAAAAGTAAAAGATTGCTTTTTTTTTGGTTTTTACAATATGATTGTGCACAATAATCATCAACTAATCAGAATTTTCATGCAATTGTGGAGTAATGTATGATGTCTTGTTTATTTGACTTACTATCTCATTTTTGCACATGTTTTCTTGTTAGTTTGATTAATTCTTTGTATGCTGTTTTGGATAAATAAGTCATTTTTTCCATTTTGACATTTTCTCAACTGCTCTTGCAAAAACGAATCAAATTTAGCAATTACTTTGATGATTTTAATGAAATGTCTATTATTCGAAAAATGCTACTCTTCAGTGTCACTTCTAAAGAGCAAATCTCTTTCACTCAAAAGTGTAATAACTAGACGTCTTTTTTTAGCACTATGTAGTGATACTGAATATTTTTCCTCATACGTTCTTGAAAGCTATTGGTCTAGTCAGTGTATTTATATTTGATTTACATGTAATGCAAGTAAACATGGCCTTATTACACTCTTCGGAGTCTTTATTACTTTCAAGATTCTCAATATGTTCACCTAGTCTGAAAACAGTCTAATACAGGTAATGTTGGTCTTGCTGAAAACAGTAAACAAACAAAAGGATATATGATATCTATACAAGTTATCAAATGTTTGCCTCTCAGCTCCAAATTCACCTTCACTGTCCGCTCTGTGAGATGGATATGAGCCCTTTACACATTTGTCCCTTGCTGGCTGGCACAGTGTTATGCTTTGTCAGTTCAGGGTGCTGGAGAGACATTGCGGGAGGAAGGGGTTTTCCTTTTTGGGCCCCGTGTGCCTGGTTGGTTAGCTTTTACGGTGTGGAGAGTTTTTCTGGTGCCAGGTTGTGCAGCACATGTGGCTTCTCTAGGGTCTGGCTTCTGCCATATGCTCGTCTTCCTTAGAAACCAACGCCTGCAGCCTGGGCAGTTTCTCTGCATCCAGCTCTTGCAGCACGTGCAACTTCTCTAGTGTGTGGTGTCATGGCTAATTTTATGTTAACTTGGCTAGGCCCCACGGTGCCCATATATGTGGTCGAATGTTATTCTGGATGTCTTTTTGAGGGTGTTTTGGGTGAAATTAACATTTAAATAGGTAAGTTTTGGTTAAAGCAGATTGCCCTCCCTAACGTGGGTGGGTTCTATCCAATCAGTTAAAGGCCTGACTAGAACAAAGACTGATCTCCCGACGCAAGAGAGAATTCTGCTGCCAAGTGGCCTTTGGATTTGAACTGCAGCATTGCTTGTCCCCTGGGTCTTTAGCCTGCCGGCCTACCCTGCAGATTTTGAACTTGCCAGCTTCCACAATCATGAGTCGATTTCCTTAAATAAATCTCTATGTCTACATACACATATCCTCTTGGGGCTGTTTCTCTGGAGAACGCTGGCTTATTACACGGGGGCAGTTTTTCAAGTACCAGGCTCCTGCATCACCAGTGGTCTCGCTAGTGCCAGGCCCTGTTTCTCCAATGCCCAGCTCCTGCAGGGCACTGAGGCCGGTGGCTTTCTCTAGCACGTGGCTCTTTAGACATTTTTGTAGCAGAATGCCTCAATGAGACACCGCTTCATGCTTCCCCTGGCACAGGAGAGGGAGGATTTCCAGCAAGTTCCACTGGTGTGGCAGCATAACAACTTCTCTGCCATCCAGTGAACCACAGCTGTGCCCTTTTCAATAAGGGCTCAGCCCTGAGGGTGAGTGAGTGGGTGGGTGGGGCTCTTTCTTGAGTGCACTATCTCAGCCTAGGGGTAGTGGCTGCTCCTTATACCTGCCTCTCTTATATACTTAGAGTCCCCTTTAATTTGTGCTAGTCAATCCCTTGTTACTCTAACTCCCTGTTATAATTAATAATTCTTTTTTTTTTTTTGAGACAAAGTCTTGCTCTGTTGCATGGGTTAGAGTGCAGTGGCATCATCATAGCTCACTGCAACCTCGAACTACTGGGCTCAAGCACTCCTCCTGCTTCAGCCTCTTGAGCAGCTGGGACTACAGGTGCGCACCACTGTGTCTGGTTAATTTTTCTATTTTTGTAGAGGTGGCATCTCGCTTTTGTTCAGGCTGGTTTTCAACTACTGAGCTCAAGCGATCCTCCTGCCTTGGCCTCCCAGAATGCTAGGATTACAGGCGTGAGCCACCGTGCCCGGCCTAATAATTCTTTATATTAAACTTTCCCTATTCAAGCTGTTGTGTGGTTTCTCTTTCCTGACTGGACTCCTTTAGTTTTGGAACAGACAAGCCAGCCAAGATCTGATAATAGTCTGATCATTATATTTTATTTCAAAATATCTGAGAAGCATCTCTTTCGCCCATTATTTGTTTTGTTTGATTCTGTATAAGTATAATTGGGATGACAATATAGAAAAAACAAACTATCTTTTATTAAGCAATGTTAAATAAGATTATTGTTCATTGTAACAGGCTATAATGAAAACTCCTGCTACTTACTGAAATCAATGAATTCATTAAAATGAAGATGCTGCACTGCTTGCTTACCTGCATGCATATTCTGTTGATCGTATAAATTATGCTTTCCTTTACTATTGCTTTCATCCTCCTCTGCTTTTTCATTACCTGTTTATGAATGTCTTAAGTCTCATTATTGTCTTTAACTCTTATAGTGTCCTTTTAATTATCTAATTTGGCTCTCATTATCTAAATTAGATTCTTTCCCTTACCTTCATAATTTGACCATCAGGGGTTTTGGTTTCTTTTTGAAATTTTGAAGCTCTGTCAGTCTTGTTTCTTTTCAGGATACATGTTGGCTTGCACGAGAACACTTCCCATCATATTTCAATTGTGATATGGATGAATAACTGGGAAAAATACACAAAATCAATCTCAAACAAAGGCTTACATGAGAGACATTCAGCTGCATATAAAATTGTCATTATGTTATATTGAGCTATACAATTGTCTAATTAACTCACTTATGCTACATATGTTGACTTATTGGTAAATATAAGTAAGAGTTTATCTCTGGAGTACGTGTTTCTTCAGTTCCTTTTGCTGTGTTATTGCCAATTTTGCACACTGCTTTATCAGGACAAGATATTTTAGATTTGCTAAATTGGTAGCTAATATGCTGAATAAATAAAACATGCAATTCTTTACAGATATGTTCACAATCTGTAGCGATTTGTCATAGCTTTGTGCCCTTCAAACACCAAAATCCTGATAAATCCTATTTTGCTTGATTCCCATGTACATTGATCACTATTGTATATTGTCGAATGAGAGCTTCTGTTTAAGTGCCACTGGGGACTATATACACTGCTTATAATTTTATTCAGCTGGTGATTAGAAGAATTTTCACAGACTAGCCTCTGACTCCTACAATTCAGACTGTTTTTCCTACATTGTCCACATACTTCTGGTGTTGGGTACTATTGAGCACATTCATATCATCAAATAATCTCTGCCCCTGCACTTCCTTTCATGAAACTGGGTGAGTCAACACAGTGGGTATAGAAATATTCCCAGTGCCCTTCCCATACTGGGCTGGTTAGTAACTACTTAACTATGCATGGACATGACTGCTAATGTGTTAGTTTTTTATTGCTGCATAACAAATGATCACATCCTCAGCTGCTTAAAACAATATCCATTTGTTGTCTCATAGTTCTGTATATTAGAAGTCTGGGTGAACTTGAATGGGTCTGTGCTTAGGGTCTCACAATGCCAACAGTCAAGGCATACTAGTCTGCTAGAGCTGCCATAAAAAATATACCATAGACTTGGTAGCTTAAACAACAGAAATTTATTTTCTCACAGTTCTGGGGGCCAACAGTCTGAGATCAAGGTGTCATCAGGGTTGGTGTACAAAGAAACAGATGCTTTCCAAAAGCATCTAGAAGGAATATGGATGGCCCTGTTGACACCTTGAGTTTTATCCCATTGAAACTTCTGATCTCCAGAACTATAATATAATACATTTGTGTTGTTTTAAGCCACAAAGTTTGTGGTAATTTGTTACAGCAGCAACAGGAAGCTAATGGTCAGGAGTTTTGCTGTCCTTGGTCCTGAACCCTCACACTCCCTGTGCTGCCCCTGCCCAGCTTTCTGACCTCCTCAGCGGGAGCCCCTTCTTCTTGCCCTGAGAAAGATGGAGCTTGAAGCTTTTTCCTGGTTATAGCCCATTCCTTTGTTTTTAGTGAGTTGTAGATAACACTGTCCACCGAAATACAATAAAATGTGAACCATAGATGTAATTTTAAATATTCCAGTAGCCACCTTAAAAAAGTAAACAGAAACAGGTAAAATTAATTTTAAGAATGCCATTTGCCCAAGTATATAAAGTCTTATAATTTCAATGTGTAATCAATGTAAAATTGTTAAGTGAGATATGTTACATTCTTCTTTTCTTACTAAAGTTTTTGAAATTCTGTATGTGCTTTACACATACAGCACATCTGAATTTGGACAATACACTTTTAATAGTTAAAGTGAAATGTGATCCTATCATAACAACAGTGTTTATTTAATCAAAGAATATTTTACACCACTTTAATTTTTAAATTTAAATTAAAATTAATTAAAAATTCAGCTTTTTAGTCACTCTAGCCACTTTTCAAGTGCTTGACAACCACATTTGGCTAGTGGCTACTGTATTGAACAGTATTGCTCTAGAATATCAACATTAACGGGGGAAAATTATAATATTATAGGATCTTTTATTGATAAATAATTGGGAGAGTATAAGGACAAAAGTATATTCCCCAAAAGCTGTGTCCATCACAGGAAGCAGATCTTAGGAGACAAATCTTACTTATTTCTCATGTTTTCTTGTAACTCAAGGCTCTTTATGGTAATATTTAAATCTCAGTTTTAGATGCTGAACTTGATATTAAACTCCAAGACAGCAAATTCTTTCCAGAGTGGCTTGTGGGCTGAAGGAAATCTAGGGCTTTGGAACCTTCTGAGTTTTCGGTTCACTGCCTTCCTGGACTGAGGTCTCTGGGTTTGCCTCTGTTAGGCCCCAGGGGTCTGTGCTATGAAAGCACAGGCCATCTGCCCTGCAGGCCCTGGTGTGCAAACCAGGGACTCTATAGTGTAGTGGAGGGGTTAAGAATGGGGCTTAGGAGTCATGCTGACCTAGGTTTGAATCTTGGTTTTGCATCTACCCAGTGGGTGACCTGTCCATGTCATGGAACCATTTTAAGTCTCAGTTTCTTCACCTGTGTAATGAAATGATGATATTCACCTAACAGGATTTTCCTGCAGACTAAAAAGGACACATGTAAATCACACATGTAAATGTCACTTGTCTGGCCCAGAGTGTTCAATAAATGGTAGTTCTTAATAGCTAGTATTTTTGAATGACTGGAAAGGTGAACCAGGAGAGATCATGTTTCCCTCCCCAGATGCACAATGCTGTGTTTTGTTGGGCTCAGCAACTCCTCTTCACTGCTCCAACTGAATATATTCTATCACCCCACCTCAGCTGTGGGGCCTGGGGTGAATCAGAAGGCTCGGAAGGATAGGGTTGTGGGCCCTGGGCCATGTTGAAAGTTGCTGGGCATGGGCACTGTGTCCAGGGGGCTGGTGGAATGCTGGCACAGGGGCTCCAGAAAATTGCCTGTTCCTTACCAGCTTGTCCTTCTCCTCAGTGACTCATCTTAGGCCTCTTTGATTCCTCATGGAGGAAAGCCCATGGCTGTTCCTGAATAGCAGGGAAAATTACCTTTAACTGGTTATCAGCCTCCCTCAGTTCACCAGCTCTGCCACCAATGAGACAACATGACCTTGGATGAGTCATTTCCTTCTTGTGTCTCAGTGTCCTCATGTGTAAAATCATGGTATTGGGTAACACCTTTCCAGCTCAGAAGTTGACACCACGAGTCTCCAGTCATGGTGAACCACTGGAGAAAATGCCTCCAATGGGAGGTGAGGACAAAGATATACTCAGGGTTCCCAGAGCTCACTCCATTCCTTTAGCCACTAACCCTCCTCCCCCCTGTTATGTTATTAGCAATCTAGGCTTGAGGCTTGTTAAAATGTTCTAAGGAAGTATTTGGGAGCTAAATTAATCTTCCTCCCTTTCCCTCTTGCCCTCAGCTCCATTGTCCTGGCCACAGTCTTCCCTGCTTTAGAAGAAGGAGAGGTCATTCCACAGGCCCAGAGGTGGGGAGCAAAGCCCCACTACCCTTGAGGCTCAGGTCTTTGCTTTCCCCACTTGACTGAAAGGTCCCACCCTCAACTGGGCCCTGGATATCTTCTCTAACTGGGCCACTAACATGGATTTAGTTCTCTTTGGGAAGAGATTTTTAGTCTGTTATCTGCCATCCACATCCATTATTCAGGTGAAAATGGGGTGCTCCTTATAGTAGGACGTTCTTGGCGAGAAAGATGTCATTATCGTTTTACTTTGGCCCTCGACTCAGTTGACCTTCAATACTAACAAGTACTCTGTGGTGTAATCATGTGCACACATCTCTATAACATACTGCTAGGACTAGGTCGATCAACTTATTGTGGCTTAATGTGTACTTTGTCAGTTTTAGCACTGAAACACTGGTGTTTGGGGATCCCAGAAAACAAGGACAGGTGATCTTCCTTAGATCTGACTTTTCTTAAAATGCTAAGCTCTTTGATTTGATTGATTTAGAAGGAGCAGGAGAGACAACCCACAACATGGCTGATCTGAAGTCCTCCTGACCTCTCCACCAGATCAAGAAATTGCATGGGCCGGGCGCTGTGGCTCACGCCTGTAATCCTAGCTCTTGGGAGGCCGAGGCGGGCGGATTGCTCAAGGTCAGGAGTTCAAAACCAGCC